CGTGGTGGCCAGCTCCCAGCTGGAGAAGCTGGTCTTGTCTCCTTGCAAGCCCTCAGACGAGGGCTCAGACACGGGATCGGGGCCGAGGGCTGGCATCTTCTGGGGCACAGGAGCCCCTTTCACAGGGTCTGTGCTGCAGGCACCCTTGCACGCTCGGGGGCAGGAAGAGGGATGCAGACCCATGCCCCAGGCAGGGTTGGGGGGTCCCCACAACAGGCAGAGCTGCACCCTGACATTTGCTCCACGGCATTTGGAGCAGCCTGTGATTTCCCCAGGTGCTGACACCCCGAGCTGCCGCTCTTGGGCATCCATGGGTGGCAGCTGGAGCTGGGCTTGGACAGGCAGCAGGACACTGCTGCTCCAAGCAGCAGGACACTGCTGCTCCGCTCCCCTCTCGGCTCCCCAGGGTAACCCCCCCTCCTTTCCACGTGTACCAGGGGAGCCCAGAGCCCTGGCACTGCCCCAAACGTGGGTCTCCCCAGGTATTCACTGTGGTGTCACCGAGACACATGGCTGAGCTAGAAAAGCAGCTATTTAGGTACAGATGGTCCCTGCAGAGATGCCTGTGCCCACGCTGCCAGCTCTGCTGGGGAAGGGCTGTTGCAAGAGCAGCTTTTTTGGGGCTGGCAGCACAGCTGTGGGGCTGCCTGGTCCTGTCTGGGGGACAGCGTGGGGGACAGCCAGGCTGGCAGGGCGTCTCTGCCGCTCCTGGCTCTGCCAACCCTCACCGTCCCCCTCAGCCATCCCTGGCATCTCGCAGGGCCCTGCTGCAGCATGGAGGGGCTTCGGGCACTGGGTGTCCTGCTGCTGTCCTGCCTCCTGCTGCCCTCACCCGCGGGCACCCAGACCAGCCCCAGCCCCAACCCTGACCAGCGTTTGGTGACAGACCCCGAGGAGGCACCATCCCATCACCACGCAGCCAGGTGAGGGGACCCCGGGGCCGGGGTGTTTCACAGTGGGGGCCGGGGCAGCCCTGGCACTGCAAAGGGCCCCGGCCCCCACCCGTAGCTCCCTGTTGCGCTTTGCTTTTTTGCCCTCCCCAGTGCCACGCGGGAGCAGAAGCCCGACGGTGCCCAGGAGGGGCTGCCCCCCCGGCCCCGCTGCGTCCGCTGCTGTGAGCCGCCCGACCAGCACTTCTCCTACCCCCGCTACCAGCCCCTGCCCCAGATCAACATGACCATCCTGAAAGGTGAGGACCGGTGGGACCCCGCGCTGCTGGCTCTCTGTGCTCCCAGTGTCACACAAACTGGGAGCGAGAAGCTGGGGCTGGTGCCTGTGGTCCAGTGCCCTGCACAGGCAGAGGGAGGGTGGGCAGGGGACACACCGGGCCACCGGGTACCCTGCTCTGGTGGCCTCTTTGCAGGCAGCAGCAGCAGAGCCCAGGGAGGGGGCATCCCTGCTCTCTCCATCCCTTTCTGTTGAGTCAAGGGGCTTCCAGGGCAACGGGTTTAGAGATGGCACCCACTTCTGATCGTGCAACCGGCCTCTTGCTTTGCCCAGGAGAAAAGGGGGACCGCGGCGAGCGAGGCATGCAGGGCAAGTACGGCAAGACAGGGGTGGCCGGCAGCAGGGGCCACGCGGGTCCCAAGGGCCAGAAGGGCAGCGTGGGCGCCCCGGGGGAGCGCTGCAAGAGCCACTACGCCGCCTTCTCGGTGGGCCGCAAGAAACCCCTGCACAGCAACGACTACTACCAGCCCCTCATCTTCGACACGGAGTTCGTCAACCTCTACGACCACTTCAACATGTTCACGGGCAAGTTCTACTGCTACGTCCCCGGGATCTACTACTTCAGCCTCAACGTGCACACCTGGAACCAGAAGGAGACGTACCTGCACATCATGCGTAACGGGGCGGAGGTGGTGATCCTCTACGCCCAGGTGAGCGACCGCAGCATCATGCAGAGCCAGAGCGTGATGCTGGAGCTGCAGGAGCAGGACGAGGTCTGGGTGCGACTCTACAAGGGCGAGCGTGAAAACGCCGTCTTCAGCGATGAGTACGACACCTACATCACCTTCAGCGGCCACCTCATCAAGTACAGCGGGGACCCCTGAGCTCCCCCTCCCCGGGGGCGGGTGTCCGAGGAGCCGCTGCCACCCCCTTGCCCAGGGCATGCCCCCCGCCATCAAGCTGTTTGCCCTGCCATGTGCCACCACCTCCAGCAGCCACACGTGTGTGAACACCCCCAGCTCCTCAAGGTCGATTGGATGCATCAGGAGGAGCCAGAGCCATTCCCAGCCTCTGCTGCATTTGTGACCCGGGCAGCAGCTGCTTTCCTGGGATGGGCAAGGATCTTGTCCCCACCTGCAACTACTCCAGGGCTGGGTTTGCTGGGAACCAGGCGTTGGTGGCACTGGCTGTGAGCTGGCACCAGCTGAACAGGCTTGATGGCTGGTGCATGGCAGCACAGACATGTGCACCCTCCCTTGCCCCACTCACACCCTGATGTGCTCTGCAGCCTCCTTCTCCTGGAAAAGGAGAGAGGGTGCCCAGCACCCAGCAGGAAAGGCGATAAAACCACTAAGGGCCCCTCTTTCCTTCCACGGGAGCCGGGTCCCAACGACACGGATGTTGCAGCATGTCACCGGGTACCCGCTGGGCTCACACTTCCCCCAGCGTGGCCACAAGGGAGCACGTTGCATCAGTTCCCCCCCCCCGCCACAAGTCCCCGTCACCGTTATCCCCACCACAGCCCCTGCTCGGTGCCAACGCTGCCGAGGAGGGGCTGGCTCCCTGCTGGCAGCCCTGGGCACGGGGCCTTCGGCCTCAGCCACTTCCTCCTCAGTTAGATTATCTGCTGGCCAGGCTTTGTATTTTTGTAGAAGCACTAGCAGAGCGGGGCCCGGGGGCAGTGTGCTGTCCCCTCCCCCACTCTCTGTACAGCTTGTCACCATATTAAACACCCCACAACTTTGAGAACTACTCACACTTTCAGTGGTTCCTCTTGCTTTACGTGTGTGCGGAGGCTCCAGGTGGCTCAGGACAGGTTCCTGCTCCTGGAGAGCAATGGGATGGCACCATGGTGCCCAGCTGGTGGTGGGAAGGGAAGGGCAGACCCTCCCTGGAGAGCCAGGGAGACTGAGCCAGGCTCTGCAAAGGCTGGCTGCTCCCTAAAGGTCAGGGAGCTGGAAGCTGAGATCAATAACAGACCCATCAACGAGCAAGCAGGACAGGCTGGGGGTCATGGCTGGGTTTACCAAGAGTCCAGATCATCTGGCAGGTCCACAAGTGATGAGGTAGGGCTGAGGTCAAGCTGGGAAGCTGTTGGGTCAGGGTCTGGCTGGGTGGGTCCATGGCCAGGCAGGGCTGGAGACCAACATCCCCCTCCCCAGCACAGCAGAGAAGGGAGAGAGCTCAGGGTTGGGCTTAAATAGAGCCCCTGCCCCACAGGTGGGGGCCCAGCTGAGGCTGGTCAGGGCCGTCTAGGGCTGGTGGTACCTCCATGGCCCTGGTGCTGCTGTCCCTGTGGGGCTGTCCCCAGGGACACTGCAGGAGATGTGGAGGCAGCTGCCCTGCTCATGGCCAGCCCAGGGCCCTGTCCCAAACCCCGCGGTGGGGGCAAAGCCCCGTGGTGGCACCCAGCCCCTCGGGCAGCAGGCAGGGCTGGGGCTGCTGGTTCTGCTGGCACGTGGCACGAGGGGACGACTGCCTGCTGTGGGGTGGCCACCAGCCACCAGTCTGCACAGCAGGACCCATCCTGGGACAAATGTCCTGTCCTGGAACACGTCACATCTTGGGACATGTCCCATCTCAGGACACACAGTCCATCCCAGGACATGTAGACCCATCCCAGGACACGCAGCCCATCTCAGGACATGTCCCATCCTGGGTAATGTGGCTCTGTCCCAGGATACATGGTGCATCCTGAGACATGTGGCCCCTGTCCTAGGACACAGAGCCCATCTCAGGACATGTCCTATCCTGGGATATACATCCCTATACTGGGACACATGGTCCCATCCCGGGACACACGGTGCATCCAGGGACTATTGGCCCCTGTCCCAGGACACAGAGCCCATCTGGGGACATGTCCCATCCATGGGACACACGTCCCCATCCCAGGACACACATCCTCATCCCGGGACACACGTCCCCATCCCGGGACACCCGCCCCATCCCGGGACACCCGTCCCATCCCAGGACACCTGTCCCATCTCAGGACATGTCCCATCTATGGGGCACACGTCCCCATCCCGGGACACACATCCTCATCCCGGGACACGTCCCCATCCATGGGGCACACGTCCCCGGCTGTCCCTGTGGGGCTGTCCCCAGGGACACTGCAGGAGATGTGGAGGCAGCTGCCCTGCTCATGGCCAGCCCAGGGCCCTGTCCCAAACCCCGCGGTGGGGGCAAAGCCCCGTGGTGGCACCCAGCCCCTCGGGCAGCAGGCAGGGCTGGGGCTGCTGGTTCTGCTGGCACGTGGCACGAGGGGACGACTGCCTGCTGTGGGGTGGCCACCAGCCACCAGTCTGCACAGCAGGACCCATCCTGGGACAAATGTCCTGTCCTGGAACACGTCACATCTTGGGACATGTCCCATCTCAGGACACACAGTCCATCCCAGGACATGTAGACCCATCCCAGGACACGCAGCCCATCTCAGGACATGTCCCATCCTGGGTAATGTGGCTCTGTCCCAGGATACATGGTGCATCCTGAGACATGTGGCCCCTGTCCTAGGACACAGAGCCCATCTCAGGACATGTCCTATCCTGGGATATACATCCCTATACTGGGACACATGGTCCCATCCCGGGACACACGGTGCATCCAGGGACTATTGGCCCCTGTCCCAGGACACAGAGCCCATCTGGGTGGCCCCTGTCCCAGGACACAGAGCCCATCCTGGAACATGTAGACCCATCCCAGGACACACAGCCCATCTCAGGACATGTCCCATCCATGGGACACACGTCCCCATCCCAGGATACACGTCCCCATCCCAGGACATGTGGCCCCCCTCCCAGGACACAGAGCTCATCTCAGAACATGTCCCATCCATGGGGCACACGTCCCCATCCTGGGACACACATCCTCATCCCAGGACACACGTTCTCATCCCAGGACACCCGTCCCGTTCCAGGACACCCATCCCATCTCAGGAGATGTCCCATCCATGGGACACACGTCCCCATCCCAGGACACACGTCCCCATCCCAGGACATGTCCCACCCATGGGACACCCATCCCTCCCCGGGACACCCGTCCCATCCCGCTCCGCAGGGCTCCAGGCGGCGCCGGGCGG